CCTGCCCTAATTAAGTGTTTATATCAACCTTAGATATAGACTTAAAGACGGTAAACATATACTTACAATTCTCCTGCCCTAATTAAGTGTTTATATCAACCTTAGATATAGACTGAAAGACAGCAAACATATACTTACAACTCTCCTGCCCTACTCACATGTTTATATCAACCTTAGAGACTTAATAATAGAAACATATACTAACAACTCTCCTGCCCTAGTTACATGTTTATATCAACCTTAGATATAGACTGAAAGACAGCAAACATATACTTACAACTCTCCTGCCCTACTCACATGTTTATATCAACCTTAGAGACTTAATAATAGAAACATATACTAACAACTCTCATGCCCTACTCACATGTTTATATCAACCTTAGATATAGACTTAAAGACGGTAAATATATGCTTATAACTCTTCTGCCCTACTCACATGTTTATATCAACCTTAGATATATACTTAAAGACAGTAAACATATACTTACAACTCTCCTGCCCTAGTTACATGTTTATATCAACCTTAGATATAGACTTAAAGATAGACACATATACTTACAACTCTCCTGCCCCACTCACATGTTTATATCAACCTTAGATATAGACTTAAAGACGGTAAACATATACTTACAACTCTCCTGCCCTACTCACATGTTTATATCAACCTTAGATATAGACTTAAAGACGGTAAACATATACTTACAACTCTCCTGCCCAACTCACATGTTTATATCAACCTTAGAGACTTAAAGACTAGAAACATATACTTACAGTTCGAAACTTGTGATCAGTGTAGCAACACCTATTCTAAACATAATTTTAGTTTAATTTTATAGCGATCAAACACCTATCTTATTTACAAATTTAAGTAGCAACTACACCCTCTGACCCCCATCCGTTATTATTAATGTAAAACGTAACAGTGTATTATTACAAAAATTGATCGGTATCATAGTTTAGAACTCGGAGGTCTCACAAGTTTATGGTCACGTAGTTTTTGCATGCCGTCACTGACTTGAGCTTAATGTTCAACTTAACACTATTATAACCTTACAGCCGAAAATAAAGTATGGTAACATCTATTAGGAATGCCACTAATTCGAGAAACCTATCCAAGTTTTTGTATAATATTTTGATATAAGCAGAACAACTCTCAGTGATATAATTCATTTATCACTTGTAGAAAAAAGTCAATGTTTATTTGTTTTGAATTTCGCGCAAAGCTACACGAGGGCTATCTGCGCTAGCCGTCCCTAATTTAGCAGTGTAAGACTAGAGGGAAGGCAGCTAGTCATCACCACCCACCGCCAACTCTTGGGTTACTCATTTGCTAACGAATAGTCGGATTGATCGTCACATTATAACACCCCCACGGCCGAAAGAACGAGCATGTTTGGTGGGGCGGGGATTCGAACCCACGACCCTCAGATTGCGAGTCGAGCGCCCTAACCACCTGGCCATGCCGGGCCTAGAAAAGAAGTCAACAAATAAATGGTTTCATTAGGTTTTATAATTGTATTAACAAAGAAAAAAAACATATTATTTATATGTATTTAAATGAAAAGACTATTTTCATTTTGTATAGTGGATGCCGTGGGTTGACTTGAAATACGAAGGAGACAAAATTACCATATCTGGACCGATGGCAAATCTGCTGAACAATCTTGCATTGTCGATAAACTTTAAGTGAGTGTAGACTGATTTCGTAAAAGAACAAATCAATTTTTCTTAGATTCTATCAAAATATGTTCCTTCAAATAATCCTAAATGATGACGTCAGTTATTTAGTAAAACCAGTCTAATAATTTATTCGTGTTGTCACTGGCAAAAAATTATTTCAAGTTAATGGTGAATTAATCTTTCGAAAACTGTGTTTATATAGCTAGATAATCATTCAGATTAATGTTTTATTGGATATTCCGCGTCGTTTCAAATATTTATAATTTCAATAAACATACTATGTTCCTCATCTCTTTCTTGATGTGCAGATACGAACTTTTCATGCCGGCTGATCGTGAATGGGGTATGATAGTGAACAATACATGGACAGGTATGATTGGAATGCTTCATCGAAAAGTAAGTAATAATATACTGTTGTTGTTTTTTCTCTCTCTCTCTGTCGAGGTACGAGTAATACGTAATATGATAAGTTAAATATTCATACACCTGAGTTGATTTAAACCTTGACAGATTTTCACTATTCGACTCCTTCCGTTTCTTTGGTTTGCTCTTTTTGTTTTAGATAGAAAAATTATGATATAATTTACCCCTTTAATTAAAACACTCTCCAATCTTACAGATATCTTTCCCGAAACACTCACTGAGTACAGCGACATCTATACACAAGATCTGTAATACACTATATTTACATCGACCTCTATAGATCATTCTTTCAAACTACTCTCTGAACACAGCAACATTTAGAGGTCATCTTCGTGTACCTTTCTCTAATAAAAATCCAATATTCTCTAGTGAATTCTTTAAAGTATCCTAGTTACTGTGATCCCTAGAAATCTGATCCCGACACAAAATTTTGATTCAAGCCCTTTCTAAAGTTCACCTCCCTAAACCTCTCTCTGAATATATTGATCTCAACGGCTGAGTTTTTCCAAACACTTTCTGATCACGACTATTTATAGATATAACTAACTAGCCACTATCTCCCGTCTATAGATATCACTTTAAACGGCTCTATATTGATAAAACCCTCTAAAGATCGCCTTCTTAAACTATTTTCTAAATACACAGATTAAGATCACTTTCTTACCATGGCCTTATCTAGAGATCACCTTATATCATTTTCTGACCACGGCCATACCCAGAAGTCATCGTTATAAATTACTTTCTAACAAAAACCGTACCCAGAAACCACCTTCTTAAAGCATTGTCCCCCGGTGGGACATACAACTCTAAAATCCGGGATTCGATCCCCGGTGGACACAGCAGATAGCCCAATGTAGCTTTGCTCTTAAACAACGAAATTTAAGTCACATTCTGACCACAGTCATATCTAGAGATCACCTGCTTAAACCGTTTTCTGACCACGGCCGTTTATAGAGATCACCTCTTCATGATAAGTTCTGATTGTAACCATCTTGTCAGATTTCCTTCGTCTTACATTCTCTCATTAGATTACATATCAGATCTCTAAGGTACTTTAAACTAATATAGACAGCTAGAGATATTTCCATAAACCACACCCATCTCTAGAAATATCTTTTCTTAACAAATTTCTGAGCAAATTCATCATTATAGATCATAGTTTAGAAACTGTTTTCCGATACCTAGAGCCTCATAGAGTCCATTTTTAACCATCTTCTTATCACAGCCATCTCTAGAGATAATAGTTTAAAACTATTTTCTTATCACAGCCGTCTTTGAAATCACATTTCTAAAATTGTGTTCATGTGCATAACATATTTAGTACTATAGTCATATATTTCTTACAACAGGAGGCAGATTTGGCTATTGGACCATTTGCCAGGACGTATGACCGTTCCAAAGTGTCCACTTTCACGTCAACAGTGACCACTAACCACCTCACCATCATGGCAGGTCGCATGAAGGATCAAAGCACGAACGTGTTTGGTTACATTCTGACATTCGACTGGCAGGTAATTGGCTGTTGTTGTACAATCTTATGAATGGATTAACAATGATGGTGTAAATAGGAATGTTCGATTTGACAGAGAACATCTGCAAAACTAGCACGACAAGATACAGTGTATGAACATTATGTTGGCTTGTATATAAACACAGTTTTAAAAATCTACATCAGTATTCAAGTATATAATAATTCGAATTTATGTTGACACATGAAGTATTCCAGATAAAACTTTATCCATCTGCTCAAATTTGGTTTAAATAACCCACCCCATCTACTGCTAATGACAACGCATGAAATTTCGTAATCATAGCGTGTAATTACTTTCGACGTTCTTTATCTTTTCATAAGTTTGTTGGATTGCAGTCTAGAAATCAGCTTTATACGGAAAGTCTCCGATATTCAAGTTATCAGAAACGGCTCTTTCCAGTACACGAGTTCTTCTCACAGCCTGACTAACTCGGTTACAGGGTGGAAAGATCTGGTGAGGGGTTCGGTTTGGTGTATTCGTCGATGTCTTGGACATTTCGGTAAAAATAAGTTGTGTAACAGTTATCTGTTGACTTCATAATTGTTTCAAAATTTATTTTCGTGTCTTCGCTATTATGCGCAACGCTACACAATGGGCTAGCTGTGCTCTGCCCACCGCGGGTAACAAAAACCCAATTTTTAGCGTCATAAGTCATCAGACATAACCGCTGAGCCACTGGAGGCAGCTGTTAGAGACCAAATAGATTACTTAGGGCACAAGTAATTTATCGAGCCGTGTTTAATGTTGAGTACTTGAAGTTAATCGAACAGAACTAGTTTTGTGGATAGTTTGTTGAGACGTCTTTCGTTCGTTTCAAGTTACTTTAATTAAAAGTGTTCCGTAGATTATTGGGGATTTGTTAAGTTTTACATGTTTTTGGATATTTATGGAATATTGATATGACTGTCTTACTGTTTCACCCAAGAGTTGGCGGTGGGTGGTGATGACTAGCTCCATTCCCTCCCATCTTACACTGCTAAATTAGGGACGGCTAGCGCAGATAGCCCTCGTGTAGCTTTGCGCGGAATTCAAACCAAACCCAAACCCTTACTGTTTCAAATGCATTGTCGTAAATTATATTTGCTATTGATAACCATGGTAACACTTCATTCATAGCAACTAAGATAACGCTTTACCTTCATTCTTTGTATATTACAGCAATTATCTATAGAACATTTGTAGTCCATGCTGTTGTTTTTATTTAAAAAAGTTTTGAACGATACTTTCTTTTTTAGGTTTGGCTTGGTCTGTTGATTGGCATGATTGTTCTAATTTTGACGTCACTTCTAATTGATGCCATATATGATCGAAAGTACAGAACCTTCCCTACCGCTACGAGGAGGGCAGGCCAACATTTCTGGACGTTTTTTGCTACAGTGTTTTGTGAAGGTAAATATAATGGCGTAGTATTTTTTTCATACATACAATGTTACCTAAGATTGACGAAGCTAGTTTTTCAGTGAATTTTAGTTTAAAAGCGAATTATTTTTAGTCATATATGCCTTTAAAAACCGATTGTAACCTATATAGAAAACAATTGTGTTCGGAAATTGTACGTAAATTGTTTGAAAATGTTTTTTTACTACAACAGGACAATGTTATAAACAAAGTCTCCGAGATTTTTTTTAAAGATCTACCCAATCTTCATAACATAAGAAATATAATAATATTTATTACGACTACCTTGTAATTTGGCAATCTTTTTTATCAATTATAACGTTTTCTATTTCGGTAACTTATTATTGTATCAACTTGGATATGTTACGTCTCCGTTCGTTAGTTAATTTTCCGTAACTTCGTTCCGACGAAACTTTAGCGACACAAGTCCTTTCTTAAATAAAACTGGTTTATTCTTTGTGAATATAACTTTGCGATACACTTAATTTCAACAGTCGCGCTATAACAACGAACGTCTCACGTGCTCAACTTCAACAATACTCAGTTCAATTACACACTCTCCGACTGCAGTTCAATTACTCATCACCTCCCCGTCGCTTCGTGGCCTGTCTTATATATACAAGACTAACACACATCTAGTAAACGCTAGGGCATTCACGAAGGAACAGGATATTTCTAGAAAGAGGTGGCGTGATACTAGTCACGCGACCTCGCTGACGCAACAGATAGTTCTTGTGTGGTTTAGATGGCTACATTAAGGCAGTTACTTCTGTATCGGCAGATATGTGTTCCGTAACATTCACTTGACTTGTGTCGAATAACGCTAGTACGCGAGATTTTCACACGCAACCAGTGGATAATAACTTGATGAACTTGTATTAATCCGCAGCACTGGGACAGCGGTATTGACTTTTTTGTTTGTTACTACAAATTTTCTGTGTATGTACTTTAAGTAATTATTCTTAACTAATTTTTTTTTACTATCCAGATATGTACAGCCATTTTTAGTTAGATGTCTTATTACTGATGTACTTTTGTTTATACCCCTCTATGAGGGTGGGTTAATAAAGAAAAAAAATAACTTGTATGCTCAAATCCGGGGCTCGATTCCCCGTGGTGGACACAGCAGATAGTTCAGTTTGTCTTTGCTCTAAAAAACAAACCATACCACTAGAACCTGATAGAATTTTGTTTTGTTTTTTTATAAATCGCAGAATTTATCCGCCCGTCCTTTTATATATTACTGTATCTCATTTGTCAAGAAAGAATAACTAAGTTCGGATTACTAAACTCTCTCCAGCGTCACCGAACCTGCCGGATAGTACACCTGGTCGATTCTTAGTGGCGGTCTGGTGGCTCGCTATTATCGTCTTGATGAACGCCTTCAGCGGGCACATGAAGGCCAGCATTTTACTGAAGAGGGACGTCAACAAGATCCAGACAATGAAAGACCTGGTAGCACAAGGTGGAATTCAACCTCTAGTGTGGAAAGGAACTGCATACGAAGCCTACCTTAGAGTAAAATAGCCTAATATATTATATTCCTCTCAGTATGAAATTAAATTACTCACCAAAACTGTAGAATTTCATCCCGTTGTGCCCCCAAATACCATCCCCCGTCCAAATCTCTTCCGGTGAATAGGATTTCACAGCCCTGCCAAATACCATCCCCCGTCCAAATCTCTTCCGGTGAATAGGATTTCACAGCCCTGCCAAATACCATCCCCCGTCCAAATCTCTTCCGGTGAATAGGATTTCACAACCCTGCCAAATACCATCCCCCGTCCAAATCTCTTCCGGTGAATAGGATTTCACAGCCCTGCCAAATATCATCCCATATCTAAATTTCACGCCATCGTATCTTTTAGTGTTAGTTCACTATGTGTTCATTTTTGCTAATTTTTTCTTTTCATTTTTCGTTTTGATCAGATATATTTCGTATGTACTATTTTATGTAATATAAATGGCTTATTTCTCTGTATTATTTATGGAATGTGCTATTTCTAAGCCTACCTGAAAAAAAAAAAGATTTATACTAATAGTAACAGTTATAATACTTTACGTGATACTAACACTGAGCATGTAATAAGTAACATTTTCATTTGTAAAATGTTATTTAACGTTCGGTTATTTATTAACAATGAAATTAAATTATCGACTCTTTATCTAATTATAATATAATGTTTAGAATGAAATTATTATATATAATATCGCACTAAGAGAATTAGTATAGTACTGTTACGACAGCGGACGTCACTTGGATCCACTGATCCCCGCCAGGCCCTGTAAAGGCTCGTTTGCTTCATTTCATTTCGATAACTTGTCAAAATCAACTGCCGACTTACTCCTTCTTCAAACTTCAGCCGGCCTCTGCCACGTCTTGGACTTGCCTTCACTACTGCCTACTTGCCCCACCTTCATACGTTTGTGTATGTATATATATATATATGTATATATATTAATTAATTGATTAACTGAATAATTATTCTATTGGTTAATTTATTAATTATTACTATTACCCCTTCGCCCATACGGCTCATTATTCCGCTGACCATAAATTGAAATGTAACCTTATGCAACGAGCACCCTTGATTAGTAATTATTTCTTAGGAGATCATTATTTTTAAATCAAAATAACGGCCAAGAACAAACGCAATCGGGATTGAATAGCAGACAGAGAGATTGAAAATATAGACGGACAATTGAGTCAAGCGCGGTAGTAAGTAATGTGCTTGAATCATTCGTTGAGAATTATAGCGTGTGTTTAAGTGTGGAAATTAAGTGTACTGCAAAGTTGTATTGAAAAAGAATAAACTAGTTTTATTTAAGAAAGGACTTGTATCGCTGAAGTTTCTCGGGAAGAATTTCTACGGGAATTAACAAACGAACAGAGACGTAACAGTACTGATACTGATAGTTGTGTATAATTTAGTACTAGTAGGCTTACTAATTTTTCATATTAGTATTAATATTTTAAACATGCAATTTATACTAGTATATAAATATTTTTTTTTATTGTGTATTATTACTTTTAATATTTACAAGTCAATTAATAGTATGTTACACAGTACTAATGACACTACTAAAACTTTAAAAGACTTAGAAGTTTAGAGTGACAGTAAACGTATGCTTTACTGTAATAATACGTATGACGTTTGATAACATTTCGACATAATTAGTATATACTTAAATAAACTTAAGAAAAGCGCGATTTTCACTGAAATAGAAATACCGTTTAAATGATAATATACTGTTGAATATATACTGTTATCGTCTCTTCACCATAGCAAAGTTATAGTCAACACTAACTCTTGTAACAAAACGAGTGACAAGCATAGTGTACTGCACGTTTGTCAATAGATACTGAGTGAAAGTAGCAATAGTATTTACGAACTAAAATAAGTACACGAGCAAAATTGTCCTCGTGAAAGTAAACACCAAATTTCTATAATACTGTACTAAATATTTTGTATAAGACACATAATTTAGAGGGATGAGATTTCTCAGGCATATTGCCCATGTAACACGCATGCGCATATGTGCTATGGAGATGAGATTTGGACGAGGATGAGATTTGGCGGCACACCGTGAAATCCTTTGCAACTAACCAAATTCTAGGACTCGCATGGTGTAAGAATTAGAGAACACAGAAGCCGGAGCGCCATCTAGCTAAGACAATAGTCAGTTGGCCCCGTGTTTAATATAATTTGGAAACTAAAATGTGTAATTTGAGCTATTTGAATGGTTATTAATTATCATAGGGAACAGTTAGAACAAATGTTCTAAAAATAGAGCGATTTTTACCTTTAAAACCTCCAAGACCATGCAGGGACTTAACTCTCTTGGACCTTCAACAAATTATATCTCACCTTATTAGAATCTGAAATGGCGCTCCTGAACAAAAGTTGCGTTTATGGAAAACAACAACAACATAATGAAGTCTAAGTATCAGAGGTTGATCACTGTTTTACCAAAAACACATAAGCATTAAATTTCACTTTTACAATTAACGAAAGATCATGTTAACTTCACAAGAGATTCATTGTATTTGTACACTACTCCGGATTCCATTAAAGTTAACAGATTTCAAGTGTCAGGCCTTCTAGTGTACCCCACCAAGGACAATAACCTCAAACATATACTTAAGCGCGTTTCTTGGGAATATAAAATAACTTATCCACTAGAATATTTCCTCATGTTGAAATGTCAAAAGACGCTCTGTTGTTTACCGCAGTTAACCATTTTAGTTTGCTATGAATATAACATCCATAAAACTTTCATATTTTGTGAACAAATAGGATGCTTCTACAAAAAGGAAACAAATAATTACTTAATGTAAACTTTTACAACTTTTTCAGCTAAAAGTGTAAATGTTTCTTTACAGACATATATATATATATATATATGTGTGTGTGTGTGTGTGTTTGTTTGTGTGTACGTATGTAGTTTTCTTCTCCACCCTCTGCCCTGCTGCAGGAGGTCTTGGAGGAGATTTTACCGTTTTTTGATCTGATGACCATCTATTACTGTAACCCATTTTGATTGGTTGATAAGGGCAATGCTTCTGAGGAACCTTTACTGGTAACATTCATCTTGGATGGTCACATTATGTATTTCATTATTATTTAAAGAGAAGTGTGACCCTCTCATTAACAGGCCATCATGTTTAGGGATGAGTTCCCATACGAGCCGTTTTTTTTTTGCCCCCAAATAGAGTAAGTAATAAAATAATGAAAAAAAAAGGAAACAGAAAATGGTACACTTAGTACTGCCCTACCTTCCAGCCAGTCAATACGAAGATTTGTGCAACGTGTTTGTCGATATGGATTGTATATTATGGATATTGTATCGAGTTCCGCCACAAATCGATCATTTGCACACAAATGGACTAGATCTGAACATAAAGCACATGCACATACAGCTATAAAGTTTTGCACAGTGTATGTAATGGGGCAAAATATTTACCATATAAGGAAACGATGTGGTACGTACACGTCCCCATGATATGTCATTACGAATACTGAAAAACTGTGAAAATGAATATTCATATATGCTGTGACATCTATGACATCAAATATACTCTGACATTCATAATGTTGTGACATAATATATACTCTGACATTCATAATGCTGTGACATAATATATACTCTGACATTCATAATGCTGTGACACCATGTATACTGTGACATTCATAATGCTGTGACATCATATATACTCTAACATTCATAATGCTGTGACATAATATATACTCTGACATTCATAATGCTATCACATCATATATACTCTGGCATTCATAATGCTGTGACATCGTATATACTGTGACATTCATAATGCTGTGACATAATATATACTCTGGCATTCATAATACTGTAACATCATATATACTCTGACATTCATAATGCTGTGACATAATATATACTCTGACATTCATAATGCTGTGACATCATATATACTGTGACATTCATAATACCATGAACTCATATATACTCTGACAATCATAATACTGTGACATCATATATACTATGACATTCATGATGCTGTGACATCATATATACTCTGACATTCATATATACTCATATATACTCTGACTTTCATAATACTGTAACATCATATATACTCTGACGTTCGTAATACTGTAACATAATATATACTCTGACATTCATAATACTGTGACATCATATATATACTCTGACGTTCGTAATACTGTAGCATCATATATACTCTGACATTCATAATACTGTGACCTCATATATACTCTGACGTTCGTAATACTGTAACATCATATATACTCTGACATTCATAATGCTGTGACCTCATATATACTCTGACATTCATAATACTGTAACATCATATATACTCTGACATTCATAATAATGTGACATCGTATATACTCTGACATTCATAATACTGTGACATCGTTATACTCTGACGTTCACAGTACTGTAACATTGTATATATACTGTATATATATATATATATATATTCTGACATTCATAATACTGTGACATCGTATATATACATATATACTCTGACATTCATAATACTGTAACATCGTATATACTCTGACATTCATAATGAACCATAGTGAACTGCCCCTTCCAGTGGCACAGCGGTATGTCTGCGGACTTACATCGCTAGAAACCGGGTTTCGATACCCGTGGTGGGCAGAGCACAGATAGCCCATTGTGAACATATCTCATAAGTTACTTTACACCCAAACAAAATAGCTCTTATTTTAGTTTGAAACGTGAAAAAAATCCATTGTTATGCTAGAGCAAAAACTGACACCACACAAAAACAAGTGTATATGTGACCGTTCTTTAGTATACGTTAAAAAAAAAGACGAATAACTCCCATTTAAATGCTTGTGAAGCCTACTAACGGACATGGTAGGTTACCAAAGTCTCATTAGTGTGGAAAATAATGTTACACAATCTATAATAAATACGTTTATTAAATACATATAAAAAACCGTTTCTGAAGAATTTAATTTACATTTATGATAGATAATATTTCAAGTTATGTTGAATAAGTTCAATTTATGGAAATCATGCATCGTGTGGTTAGTTATTATAAAGTTTGCTTTTGTTCTTATCTTCAGGACTCGCAGTCCCAAGATGTGGTTGCAGTTTGGAAGATTATACAAAACTATCCAGGCAGCTTACTCACCCAAGAAGAGCTTTACAATAAAGTAAACCTAAGGGCTGTTCTGAGTGGGCAAAAGGTAATAATCAAGGATATCGCAACCATGACCCACGTGATCACAAATCGATGTCACGAGTTTAATGATGGAGAGTTCTACTTCGCTAAGGAAATTTTCTTCAAGCACAACATGGCCATGGCAATGAGGAAGGATCTCGATCCTTGCGTTAAGAAAGAAATAAACAGAAGGTAAGAAAATTGTGTTTACAATTACAGTTGGCTTGAAGAAAAGGATGCTTAAAATTGACCTCAAATATAAAAACAACTTATTGGTCACAATAAATCAAAACTACCAGTCAAATAGTTATGGGGTATAAGATTGTAAGAACCATTGATGTTTCACCCTAACTTTTGATTTAAATTCTGTAAGCGGACAGTAAATATGTGTTAGTTGTCAAGATGTTATTTCAACAGGGTGTGGGTGTGTGGTGGGTATTTTTCCAAAGAAAATGTGCGCCTTTTCTTTTACACAGATATTTAAAGTGATTTACTTTAACTGAAGATATTGGACCTTTTAGACTTCTAAGAAGATTGGGTGATCATTGGAACCCCGTTTTACTACTACCTATACTATTATTATAATTAATTTAATTGTTGGTTCACAGAGGGCGTAACTTGTGTTTCATCTAATATTATTTTGTTTCTTGAAAATTTCAAATATTAATTTGTAGAATTAGATGGCTGGTAGAAGGTGGACTGTTCGAAAAGTGGTTGAAAGAGTCTTATGGAGAACTTGGAAAGTGTAGTGATATTGATCATTCAAAGATGGAAGTGTCTTTTGGACTTCAAGACGTTGGAGCAATTTTTATTCTGTGGTTGATCTTCACCGGCATTTCTACCGCTGCTTTCTTCTTGGAGTTGTGCTGCCACGCAATATCTAAATATTCTGGTATAAAGTATTAAGTATTTAGATGGAATTCTCCAGGTTAACCAAGGTTTGCTACCTAAAGCACAACCAACAAAACATCGTTAAAAGATCTGTCATAATTGCAACTGATCATTACAGTAGCAACAATGAAAAAATTTATAGTGAACGTTTATTCATCACCACATAAATTTGTTTAGTAATTTAGTTAATATATAATTGTACAAATAATCTGGTTTCATTTTAATGTTTTTAGCAGTAACGGCAATACTCGTTATACCTAACACTTAGGTGAGCTGTGTTTACTCTTCTGGTAAATATTGTAGTATTATACTAGATAAAGCATACTTAACTCTACATTATTTACTCCAACAATAAAGCATCTTCGGACTACAATCTACACAAATAGTTGGACTATTCTACCAGCGACATGGTGGGTAGGGGGAGCTACAGCCACTCCTGCGTCATTCAACCCTCTAATACTATTACTCTAATAGTAAGTCCTGAGGCGCCTGAATAATATTACTGAAAAAAACGTTAAGTTTAGCTAGAGTACTTCACAAACGTATTTGTGATATTTTTGAAACGGAAGTGTGTACGGTAATGATAGACTCGGGATGACACAGTTGGAAGACGATGAAGATGCATGATGAGGAAGATGTGGATGTGACATTCAAGCAAGTCATTGAAGTTGCTTTTTCATTCAATGTATCATTTGATGGACACATATCCATCTTTATGGTTTGTCGTAAAAGAACGAAGACAGGATTTCAGTCCACAACGATGCTACAAATGACCACAAACTTCAGCTATCCATCGAGAATGAAATGATGACTGAAGTGCTTGCTTTAAATTATGTACTGCTTTCATGATTATTATATACAATGTCCGAAATATATCAAAGCACCAATAACACAGGCCTGTGAATTTTAACTTCATAAAAGCTGTTTTGGTTTTATTACGAAAATTCCACAATTCAGCTACACAGATTTCGAAAATCATAACCATTTGTGTCTATCGTTTAAGGATTTTTTACAAATCGGGAAGAAAAAACCCTACTTAGATCAAATTATTACTTCGTTTACCATAGTAAACATTTGTTAGTATTATGTCTGGATTCTAGAACGATCGATAAGACCCCTACGTCGCCATTGGTCTAGAGAAATCTATAGCCAGTGGTTGTCAACATCTTAAGCATAACAAAATGTGACCCGATTTCAATGAAAACGATTCGCTTATGTAAAAGTACGTATGACGTTTTGTGAAAAATCTGTACGAGATGGAGAAAAACGGATATCATTTTCGGATTCAGCGTACAGGAATTACTGTAGAACGTGTAAAAATTTCAATACAATAAAACCATCGCAGGCCCGAGTTCTTAATGACACATCGATTGTTAACAATTACATGTACATTGTCTAAATTACACCAATGTTATTATGCAAACGTGCGTTTATATTTACTTTACAGAGTAGGTGGGGGTGGAGTACCGTTTCAGTTGCTAGCCACCCCAGCAATCTTGTGGCCACCACGCCACTTGTCTCTAGCTATTTCACAAACTGGTCAAACCTCATCTATTCTTCTGTTTCTAAATAATTATGTTTTAATCACATCGATTTGTAACCAAAACGGGTGGTAGATTACGAAATGTTTTAAATTGTAATCCTTAAATGTTTAAAAGTGTTCTTTGTAAAGGACACCTTTTACCATTTTTTGATAAGACGCGAATTGACCTTGTGGAAAAGCTCTGGATTTCGGAGCTGGCGAGCCGCTTTCAAATATTTGTGTTACAATAAAATATTCTCCACACTTTAAATTATGGATGTGTTATAAGAGTGGCAGTCCATCCCTTAGCATGAATGGTGGGTGGTTGGGTGCTGCTGACTGGCTGTCTTCTCTCTGGTCAGTAGTTCAAAATTAGGGATGGCAGCAGGTAGCTTTAGTAGGCTACCTGTAAATACATTATAACAACTTTTTTTGGGCTTCTTTTAAGATCTTGATTTTCAACTGTAATTTCTTATCTTCCGGTTATATTTATTTTTCTCTGCAGTAAAGAGGCGAGAATAATGAAACCCCGGATTCACAATCTGGCACGCTAACCACCGAGTAGCGTTCGGACCTTTGTTTATTTGTATCAGCACGAAGCAATACAGCTATAGTGTTGTATCCATTTCGGGAATCAAACCCTGAATTTAAGCGTTATAAGTTTTGAAGCTTATCACTGAGTCGCTGGAGGACTTTCGTGTCTGTAAGTAAGTTGGTTAAAGCTTACATAAGTCATATGTTTATTAAAATGGACGATATAAATTTAAATGAATATTGCTTACACACACTGATGCAGTCAGGACATTTTTACCATTGACAAAAGTACAAACGCCTCTCAGTTAGAAACTTTCTTTTTTTTTTACAGTGCTAAGAGTTATTTAATTTCCTCTTTTCTTTGGTTCAGTTTTAAGTACATACTCATCCCATAATTCTTCTAGAAATGTGATAAATCTCTGAAGTTGCCTAATGTTTATAACAGCTTTTTCTTACCTTGCGAGGTTCTCCTTGCTCTTGTACCAACAAACCCTTTCCTTAATGTCTTATCACTTAGAGGTATCCTAGCTAAGGCAGGGATATCCAGCCTATGAAACCCAACTTGATTCAGTAGATTGCAGATGGTTCTTTTTTTAAATGTGCATTACCGTAGGGAAGTAAAAGAATGGGGTTAGGTTAAAATGCTATTCTACCCCTACCCATCTTTTCAAAATCTCACCAGATTTCTACAACTTGCACTACCCAATCTTAAGAGTGGAACTATGCTAATTATTGCACTTTAAATATAAGTTTAGTTCTGAATTACACTATTTATGAAAGAAACGTTTTATTTGCCGTCTCCGGATTTTTTCCACTAATTTTAATGCTATAACAGAATCAAAGACACGTATTTTAGTTGTTTACTTTTTTACCGTTTCGTACCGTAACTAAACGTAAAAGTAAACGTAAAGTAAACGAAAGTAAACTAATTAGTATATACACTAACTATATAATATATATATATATATATATATATATATATACGAATTTTTTAAGACATCATTGTAGTTCTAAGAATAAACGCTGATCATGTAAACCTGTTATTATCATGGTTTGCAATATTTTCATCATCGACAGGTATGTGAAAACATTCATTGTTAGTAAATACATTATGTCCTCCGGTGAGTCAGCGAAATGTATACTGACTTCCAACGCTAAAACTCGAGGCTCGAGTCCTCGTAGAGGGCAAAGCTCGTACAGACTATTGTGCGGCTTCGAACTAAAAACAACAAATGAGTTGTATTTCTACTGATTACTTTCAGTTCCTGTTAATAGAGTTAAGTTCATTCTCTACAATTAATTTAGACGTATATATAAATATGTCTTCTAGCTTTTTAAATAATATAAATTTACACTGAATTATTAAGAACTTTTGATTAAATGTAAATTAACTATATTTGGATTAAGAAGATAATCTTGATAAAAACACACACACACAATATAATCAAGATTTACAGGTCGTTCCAATCAGTTATGGATGCTAGTAATTTCTAGACTGTTAACCGATACATTATTTCTGTCATTTTACTGTACAATCTCACAGAGTTGCCACAGATTATTTGTTTTATCATTTACAATATTACTTTTCAGTTTGTGCTACAAATTTTCAATTGGACAATAACGATAGGACGTTGGGCTGTCCACTTCATAACTTTTATATCACCAGCTATTCTTCTCTCTCTCTCTCTAAGTACCACTTATTCAACAGAGCACTGGGTACAGAGCGACTAACTAAAGTTTTATGGTACTGCTACTTTTTCATAGGGCCCGGTGGTTAAGGCACTCGACTCGCAATCTGAGGGTCGCGGGTTCGAATCCCTGTCACACCAAACATGCTCGCCCTTTCAGCCGTGGGTGTGTTATATTGTGACGGTCAATCCCAATCAATCCTTGGTAAAAGAGTAGCCCAAGAGTTGGCGGTGGATGGTGATGATTAGCTGCCTTCCCTCTAGTCTTACACTGCTAAATTAGGGACGGCTAGCGCATGTAGCTTTGCGCGAAGTTCATAACAAACAAACAAACAAACTTCTTCATAACATATCACCAGTTTTAATAGTATCTCCCATACTTGCAGTATTGAAACATCCCCACATATTCATAGTTTGTGCCACTTTTTTTTTAGCTTTTACACTCTTATTTAAACTGTTCATTATCAGCCCTTCTCGTTCGCCATATTTTTGGGATCATTTGCAATGTTAAAAGCTTGACCAAATTCACACGTGAAATAGTAGGCTGGAAAGTTTTTGAGTAGCTTTAAACAGTTCTATATTCGTGAAAGTATTTTAATAATCAGCAGATTTTGTTCAAAAAATAACGTTTGATGTCATTTATGAGTAGAAATTTTATTATTTGAAAACAGTATTTCCAAAGTGTCACAAAAATTTACATATTTCATGTATCTAAGTAGAGTAATTATTTCAAAGTGGCTTTTCACAATATACTTCTACCTACTTGACTTTTGACCTCAATTTATCATTCACGGTCAAGGTAAACATCCACTACTATCGCGATTGGGACAACTCACGGATTGAATTTTAAACACTTGTAGTTAACATTGCCGTAAAAACCAAAACTACGAATTTTGTATTGCTAAAGCTGGCTGACTATATATTTAATGTTATTTAACCGTCTCGACTTTTTTTTTTACATTATTTTCTTTTTTTTAAATGATACTCCAAACTCTCGGTCGCAGCATAACATTCTAACAGTTTTTGAAAAGCACCATTTGTACTAAGTTTCTGAACAAATTAACCTGACTACGTTATATTAAAATGATTTTAGAGACTCACCACTTTGTTATAGTCATACTCTATCTGCTGGCAAAAAACGTTCGTATATGGCTGCAGTTAGTATCACGTAGACGATTTATTCATTCAGCTTCAGTAAGAAGTGTTGAGGGCCTAGCTTATATATTGTATACTGTGTAGTCTCGAGAGCCAGATTCTTACTCGTATAGCGAGTGATTTTCAAATAGGTTTAAGATTAGTGCAGTTCTCAGCTCCTTCCTTGTACAATAATAAAAAAACTATAAAAATGCCTAAATCTCAAACCCACAATCACTTTATAGCTCTATTTCCGTGACACGACGAAGCTTGCTTGTGCTCAAAACAACTTGTAGCTGTTAGATATACACAACTGTTTCAGTTTAATACCAGCCTTATGAGTAGGATAGTTTATATAGCGCAAGTATCATATTTAGTTATTTTAGGAAGTGAGAATTTATGGCAAGTTTGTTTACGTAATTGTTTACCAATCATGTTTAGAATATACGTCCAATTGTTATGAATTAGTGACTGTTATATTGTCGTGTCATGTTACTAGAACTCTTTGAATTTTTCTCATTATTTTAATTGAGTATTATTGCATTAGAATATCTAATTGCGGGGAATATTCTAGACTTCTGTCGGGGTTTAAGTACGCGTTAAAAGATTATTACTTAGGTATAGACTGCGTGATTGTGAGTTTAGTTATAAAGAGCGTATAATGACGATTTTTAAAGCGAAATTATCACATATTGTATTGTAATAACAGGGCAGAGAAGAATAATTCGTCTTGTAAATTGTATTCTAAAGTAATTGAACCAGACTGTGTTGACTTTGACGAAAAAGAGACAATTATTTAAAGCTCTGGATACAACTGTGATAACCAATAATGTAACGGCCATTTGTATATACGTTTTACTTTGTTTATTATATTAAAACAAGTGGACTATGTTGCTGTTTGTTTATTGTCGAAATTTATCGCCAACGAGCCACATACGCCTACTGTAAAGAATCCGGCCTAGAAAACTTGACACCAGCAATACGGTTTTGGGATTCCAATTATAAAGCGTCAACAGAGGCTATTGCGTGGGATTATTTCAAGCTACAAAATACTAATGCTTCATCACAAGAAAGTGGACTATGTAGAAAACATTAAATAAAATAAGCAGCTGTGCTGTAACTATATAAGCCTAATTTATTTTTACATCACAAAAATGGGAGATACAGTAGAACCTTCCTCCCCCCCTGCGTACATGTGTGAGTTATCCTTTTGTTATTTATTGCTGTACTATTGCTGAAAATTAAAGCTACACAACGTATGTTTTGAAATATATATAACCGTGCATCAACAAAAATATTAGAATGTTTTCAATTTCATCTGTGACACTATAAGAGTTGAATTTGCTTTCCATTATGGAAGACTATTTGACAATAATTTTTTGTTTGACAGTTCGTTACCCATCATCCCAGTCGCTGTAGGTATCTAAGAGGTATTTACTAGAAATGGATTTTTATTTGACTATTATTTCAATGGCAAAATTCAAGTTTTTATTTATGTTTAAACATAATCGTCTCTTAATGGTAAAAGGAAAAAAGAGAATCAAGAGGCCTATATCACAGTTTCAGTTTCCCTAGACACACAAATACTATTTACAGTTCTTTTTTTCCCATCTTTTGTGCCTATGTTTTTGAAATCCATCCTATCGCTTTTGATGGACGGACTTGTCTTTTTTTTGGCCTTCTTTTGAAATCACTACATTTGTTTTGTGAGAGTGATTCACCAAACTTTTTCTTTTTATCCTACCTGTTATTTTTACTGTCATAAAATTTTCAAACCAGAAATAACCTTAGGTCCAGCCTCTTTGGTTATTTAATGATTTACTTTGTTGTTTAATGGTCCGGGTATGGCTTAGTGATCAGCAGTCTCAAATTGTAAATTCGAGGAAAATGCACTCTGCTCTTTGGGGCCGTGAGTGCGCTATAAGAGTAACGAGTTAAATCCCAATATTCGGTCGGACAAAAGCATCTTTAGAGTTGCCGCTAGGTGCTGTCGACTACCTACTTTCTCTTTAGTCTATCAATTCAAAATTAGGGATAACTATGCATACGCAAAAGTCTGAAACAAACCATCGTTTAACGTTGAGGCAAACAAATTCACATATCAAGTAAAATAGTGTTATGTATCTGCTTGTTTGTTAATTTCTGGTAGAAATTCTTTCCGAGGAACTTCAGTGATGCAAGTCCTTTCTTGATTATGCCAGTTTATTCTTTCTCGATACAAACTTTTAGTACACAGTAATTCCACAGTCAGTACATTTCTCGTCACTTTCAACTTTATAATACACGCTATAAATCACAGCGATTCACAACATCGATAACTTCGCTCTCTACGAGTGCAAAACACACACTAGCTCGAAACAGAATCGTGAATTACCCGAAACTCACCGTAACTACTGTTCGTTTTTTCAACCCCTGGCTTTTCTCTGCCAGTCTTATATACTAACAAAGAGGCGCCTCCAACATTCGCGGAGTTCCCCGATTATTCGAGAAATTCACCACGCATGCTCCCAGCGTCACGTGACTTCCGCTGTCGTAGCAATACTGTATACAATCCTTAAGTGCATAAATGGAAATCCTTAATATAGCGAATGGAACCGATACATTGCATATCTAATACTGAACATCGAGATAAGATATAAATGGAATACAATACATACATACATATAACAATTTTAATTATCTATTGATTTATTTTTAAAATGTCATAACAACAGGAAGAAAACAAGCTTATAGTGAAAGTATAAATTATTTTAAAGGCTAGTGTTACTGCTATTTCACACTAGGCGTACTGTGAAAAATAAATGCTGGAGTTTGGGAACAGTTTTAAATGATAAGATTGAAACAGCCCATTGCTTTACTTTTGATGTTTAGTAATGATATTTTACAACATGGTGTTGTATTCCTACAAGTCTATCCATACCCTTGCGTCACGTATTTTTGTCGTGCGGCGTGGATTGTTAGTCCACGACAATAGGCACTCAATGGCTTCCTGTGAAATGCTGTCAATAAATGTGCGATTCACAAATGATTCTTTAAAATTAACAATTCCAAAACAAAAATTATGTATATAAACAACCAAAAGTTCTGGGGAAAAGTAACTCTTATTTTTAAATCGTTCGAGCCTTTTCGTCTGAAATGAAGTAACCGGCTTGTCTTTTGTACTAATTCATACAAAACGTAGTAAATCGGCTGCAAATAAATGAGTTTATTTTCTAAGAATGCATGTATATGTTAACCACTTCGTGTTCTAAAATAGTTAAAACGTGGCAAAAGAAAATAATGTTGTTATATGTACATGTTGTCCATATAACTTTTCTGCTCGAAATCGATTTTGTTGCCTCTACAAGTTCTGGCCGATAAAATTTCATTCTTCATACTACTAGCAAATATCGCACGTAAGATAGATTATAAAGAAAAATATATAAAAAATAGCATGTGTCTCATTGTTTTATCTATATAAATATAATAGTACTGTCTGTTGTATATCCTTGGATGGAGGTCCATGTGGGAGATACATGCAAACTTTCAGCTTTGCATTTTGCAGTTTTATGAGCGTTTTTTACACCTATTTCGCCCCCTTGCAGATGGACCTTCACCAAATTTGGTTCATTTTTTCTATGGAGAATTACATACAAACTTTCAGTTGTTTTTTAATTTTGCGTTTTGCGGTTTTTTTATGGGCGTTATTGCGTTTTTTAACACTACTTCTTCCTCTGTTGATGGATATTCTCCAAATTTGGCATGAAGGTTTGTTGGGTCCATGCAAAGTTGTGATTTCCCATTTGGTGTTTTGCAGTTTTCATGGACGCTTATTACAATATAAGGAAAGCAACCTTATGTTCTAAGATAACCTTTCATTAATCATGAATTTACATAACTTCTGTCCAGGGGACGGGTACTCCAGCTAGTATACAATATTTTTAAAACAAAAATTCATTGAACTATTAGAATAATTAAAATTACATAACACGTGACATCTACTGGTAGCTTTAAGGTAGCTATTTTACGTTCGTACATTATATCGATAAAAAGTAATATTAGGTACAGAATAATACTTCTCACACTGTTTAGTGGTTAAACAAGAAATAATTCCAACAATGTTAACAATATTTACAAAACATTTTTTATTAGCGGGAAACTGAGAAACGGTTTTTTTGTATTGTTGAAAATGCTGTATCATTTACTTTTAAAAATATTCACTGAGAAGGAATTAACTTGATTTCTTCAGCTTTTGTTTTATTTTCGATATTTACATTTGGATTTCTGAACTTATATGCACATGCTTCACAAATATATCTATACGAAGTATAAGGGGAAAAAAATTAATGACACTCATTTTGAAAATTTGTCATTTCAAACAAACAAAAAATCGTTTAGCTATGCAATATCGCAACAGAATTTTACTTACGCTGTGGTTTATATATATATATACTAAAGCCACATCGGGCTATTCTCTGTGTCCACCGAGGGGAATCGAACCCCTGACTTTACCGTTGTAAATACGTAGACTTACCGCTATCCCACTGGGGGACATTTTAGTAACGACAGCCATCAATTATTTGTGTAACCGTTTCTACTAATGTTATTATAATATGCTGTTTCTCTGCGATATTTTTTTTTTATTTTTTGTAATCTACTTATTAGTTTTCATCTGGTGACGTTACTGAGAATAAACTCTCGAAAAAAAGTACAATTTGTCTAAGGTTCATACTTATTGAAACTCAAACTTTTCATGGGTATACAATTTCCAGTTAATCCTGAATCTTTTAGGGAATATTTTTTTACGATAATAGTGATTTTAATCAAATATATAAAAAAAGTTTCAAATATTTTTTGTTTACAAAATAATTTCTTAAATATTAATTTCCTACACTAGACAATCTAGATACATGAATATGCTTTACATCAACAAGCAGTTTGCTATAATAAAAGCTCAGTTATATTGTTTGTAATCAAGCACAAAGCTACACAATGGACTATCTGTGCTCTGCCCACCACGAGTATCGAAACCCGGATTCTAGCGTTGTAAGTCCGTAGACATACCGCTGTGCCACTGAGGGGCCCAATTTATATAAAAGTACATTAATTATACGGTTCCTATTCGTTTCAGTTGAATCTTGAGTGTAACTAACAACAATGCCAATTTTTTTGTTATATTTTTTGTGCAATAAAGTTTTAAATTATTTAAGTTATAATTGATCTACCATACCATAACACATCATGACACCTGATAGAAATTCAAAAACTTGTGAGGTGTTATTAGAGAATACGTGCAGGTCAGAGTAGTTTGTTTTAAACTTCTCAACTTCATGTTATGCTCACAATGAAGCAAACGACAGGTCAGAGATCCGTAAATGTGATTCACGCAAAGCCTTCCCTAATTTTGAACTGCGGATCGGTGGGAAGGTAACCAGTCGGTAACACCTGCCGCCTAATGCGATTACTCTTAATCAAACAGTGGGATTTACTACTTATAATGAACCCACAGCTATGTTTGACTGCACCATGTTTCGAACCCAAGATTCCCACTTTGGCTGGCAAGTGGTATGATATACCATCATATAATATGATATACCATCATATCATCAGTCAAGACACTAATTACTTTTGTCGAAATTAGTATTTCCCAGTACGTAGGTAAACATATTGCTTGGGCCAGTATGAGTCTATTAATCACAGAGGAGAAAACTCTAAATACATCATAACCCGTGGTACTGTTTAACTTGTAAATATCATGGATGTCAGATGGTGATACACGTTTAACTTGAAATTAAAAGTGATGGCTAAAACTAGTAGGTTAAACGTTTATGTAACCAATAAATTCACTAGCCTGCATGATAACTTATCATTTAACAACTTATTAATGACAGTCGGGCTAAGAATAATTTCTAAGATGTCATTTCTAATAAAAGTTACATGAACATATAACTTTTATTACTACAGTTTGCTAGATAACACACTAGAAAAAAAATCCAGCAAGTAATAATACGTTGAATGTTTTAATCATATTTGTATCTTGCACAAATAGTTAAATACCACACCTTGAACAATGCAACACGTCAATTTTTGTAGAGATCACCAGTGTCCTGTTTAAGACCTGGTGGCTTTAGATTTAAGGTGTTTCAAACAACAAAAACACAAAAAAAAAAATTGTCTTTGTGTCGAAAAACTCTAAATGACTGAATTACTATTTTGATTGTATCACAAAGAACAAAGAAATGAAGGGTGAACATGAACACACTCAAAAATATGAAAGTGTGTTTATAGATCAAGCATTTTATAGAATCATTAACACTTATGATATTTACGTGTGACCAATTTTCACTATCCAAGTCACGAGATAATGTTGGGTTATAATTCACAAAAAAGTAGGTTAATAAAAAATTCATTCTTTCAAGAAAATGTAACTTGCAAGTTAAAATTCATTTATAAATGCTAGTTGTCAGTCATATTAATTAGTCTAAATGTCAGTTACTAGGTGTACACAGAAAGTATTTCTTATGTGGTAACACACATCCCCAGTTGCTAAATCAGTTCATGTAGTGAGAAAAAAAATACTTTCAAAAAATAAGTATTTATGAACTGAGTGAAGATAATACAAAACACATTAAGCTGTTGGTAACATCACAGAATGTTTGGAATCTCTAGAAACATACAAACGTAGTTTCCTCGGAATGTTCCACACAATTTCACTCACAATAATTATTCTTAGTTCTTTAAAATCTGACATGCACAAGTTTTTTTTACACTTAGTATTTCAGCTTTCTTCAGCTTGTAGTCTATTATTATTAATTAACTGTCTTTCTATGGGTATATTTCACACTGGACTTTAGATAAAAACACAATATTCTGTGTCACTACTTATAGCTGAATATGGACAGTTAAAACACATATTATTTAATGCTGATGAAACTTTGGTGAGTTTATTTGAAGCTGTTTTATAAGAAACCTAACCAGAAGTTAAACATGTCAAAGAATAAAGATAACTTATAAATGCAAAATATATTTTATATTTGTTAAACTCACTGATTTGAAAATAACTTAAACTAAATTAGTTATTACGTTATCATATGTTGAGAAAAACCTTTTTACTTTAAAGCAGAAGTTCTAACTTTAAAGCTTTAATAATCAAGTATGGAGATAAAAAAATATAAAAAAAAAAGTTATGAAATTTCAATGTCCTTCACAGGTATCAGAAATCTGAAATACGATAAACTATATTAGTGCCCAAACCATTTCAAAAAACAGAAAAGTAAAAATACTTGACATTGTAAATTAGGTTCATATTTATTTATAAAGATATTCATTTTGTTTTAAAATGGTTTTCCCAATTTCAATTTTTGTTTTTATTCTGTAAAAATGCAAGATAAAAATTTTTTTTTTGAATTACAACATCAAGGTAATGACATAAAAACCATGTTACACATAATTTAAGACTTGTATTTTAAAATATCAATGCTAAGAATAATTCTTAATTGAAAAGGCATTACAGTATTCTTCTAATACTTAACTGTAAAATCCTTAAACTTTTCAGTGCCGATAAACACTTAACAAAACACTTACTTAATTACACACGATCTTGAACAATGTTGAAAGTTTCTGACTTCAGGACTATGGGTACATATATTTGTTTGAAACATTCAACAATTCATATTGCAACGTACTAGAAAATCAAGAAATTGTTTTATTGATATTTTCTTTAATGATGTTTAGTGGCAAATGCACAAAATTTACAAAAAAAAAAAATTATTAAATAAAGTAAAACTGTTTGGTTATATTAGTTTTCAGTATACTAGAACTACCTTCAAACTATATTTAAATCACAACCTAAAAAACTTTGAATATTTACAAATAAATTTTACACATATTTCATTATTTTCTTCTGATAAGCCATACACACACACACATATATATATATATAAATCAATCCCAGTAACAGTTACCGATGTCATTAGCTTTCACTAGCAACTATTAACCATCAACAATACTCTTAAACTATACAAAATGCCTGTGACAATTATCTTGTTATTCATAACTAAAACAATTTTGTTGATGTTTATCATTAGGACAAGAGTAATGGACGACAATGTTTCTAACATGTTATCGGATAAAGTAAATTTATAACAATGGTTGATTTGAAAAAATACAAGGCACAAAATATCCCTCACGAAAAGTGTGTCTATGTACACTTATAAATAAGACTACAAACTCACTCATAGTAATAAAACCTCCTTAAGGTTGTGTTAAACAACAGGAATTTTTTTATACAAAAGGTCAAATTCATTATTTGCAATTAATTACAATATACAACTCAGTCATGTAAACAAATATTGAATCTTAAAATCTAGTATTGGTCCAAGTTTTCTAAAGAAATGCCATGCTATTACAAAGGGTTCAATGCTTTATATTAGTATATGTAGGCTTCCAGCAGTAATATTATGTAAACTCTTCACATAGTGACTCTATCAAACCTCGAGCAAAGGTGGTATCAAAACTACATTATCACTAATATTCTGTAACTTTGAATAACTAGTATTTACATCTACACCTTTAAGCTATATCACCACTATCTGCAAATCTACCCCTTTCAAGGGTGGAGTCTCTATGTATTGTGGGTCCACAGTAATGAAATTTTAAATCTTGTACATCACTAAATCTATTCCTTCAAACTGTCATTACAAACAGTAAAACTGCCCCTTCAAGTTACATCACTACGTACTCTAGATATGTCCCTTCAAGCTCAAGCTGTCATTACAAACAGAACAACTGTCCCTACAAGTTGTATTACTACATCCTCTATACTTGTACCTTCAAGCTGCCATTACAAATGGTAAAATTGTCCCTTCACATTACATCACTAAATATTTTATATCTGTCCCTTCAAGCTGTCATTACAAACAGTAAAACTGTCCCTTCAAGTTACACGACAAAATATTTTATATCTGTTCCCTTTGAGCTGTCATTACAAACAGTAAAACTGTCCCTTCAAGTTACATGACAAAATATTTTATATCTGTTCCCTTTAAGCTGTCATTACAAACAGTAAAACTGTCCCTTCAAGCTACATGACAAAATATTTTATATCTGTTCTCTTTGAGCTGTCATTACAAACTGTAAAACTGTCCTTTCAAATTACATCACTACATATTATACATCTGTCACTGTCTCACAGAAATCAGTAGTTGTTGTTGCATCTGGAAGCCCACATCATAATCCAACCTGTTCATGTAGAAAAATGAAGTATGGTCAAATAGTTTGTTTCTAGTATAATATTATAAACTGATCTACATTGTTTAGAGAATGAATTTTAAATTACGATCTCACACCAATATCTGTAAGTGGAATAAAACTCATTATGTGAAGCAATATTATTAGAACCACATTTTCTCTGTGCTACACACAACTGTTGATGTTTTTCTTCCAGGTTAGATGTGACAGTTGATTGGAATTGTAAATAACAGGAAGAATATACTTTGTATGAAGAAAACTTCATTTCTTGTCACAACAGAGAGTTTCTTATTAAAGATTAATGGTGGTTGCCATGACTACAGCATATTGTTTTACAACTAGGTAAAAGCAAAACTATTTGGAGAACATGTCATATACAATTTTAGTTATGTTAGAACTATCTCCATGTTAAAAATCCTAAAAAGATCTAATGCATATTCTGTAGTCTTTGATATCGCACCATTGATTTAAAAAGAAAGTGAGTTTTGTATGGACACATTGTTTATTGTAGTTTTTTGGCTCAAAGGATGCCATTGGTTAAATATTGAAATCCATCATACAACCTGGTGGTCAGGGAGTGCATACTGGACTCCACCATGCTATCAACAAAAAGCTGAAGCTGATCTTCGGTAAAGCCAATGTGAAATCGTTCCTTCAGTGCTTTTACAGCACTAGCTCCATTTTTAAAGCAGGGTAGTTGAGCACTGGCTTGCATGATTTCAACCAAAACTAGAATCTTCTCGTGGTGTTTACGAGCAGCAAGAAGTCCTTGGAGTATAAGAATCTTGAAATATTCAAACATGTCACTTCCAAGACCTCCCATAACCTTGAAGTAGATGGTAACCAATTTTCAATATTAGATAAAACAAAACACACTGAATGGGAGTCTAGGACAAGCTTTATATTTTTAATGACAAAGAAGAGACATTAAAACTACTACTAATAATAATAATCACAAAAAACTTATTTCTAATGTTATACTTTTCTTTCAAACTAATTTTAACACATTTTGACAATACTTAAAATTTTGTGCTATATTTTTGATGGCATTTCTATCATTTCAGACTACTCTCTTTTTGCACTTTAAACTGTAATGTCAGCTTTTTCTGAGACTTATGTTTTGTTTTAGCACTTTACCAATATGACAACTTCTTTCAGAAGCAAATTTACAAAATTTCCACAAGTCTTATCACTATGTAATATAGAGAAGACACTATTGAGAGAGATTAAATCTATTGTACTTATGAGGGTTTACTGCTTACAAATAACCATTTGCACTATTCATAAATATCTGTTTAAAAATAAGGATGTAAAGTCCATATTGTAGCTCTTTTGATAATTAATTAATATATATAGCTTCAAGTCAAATTTCATTACTGTCATTGCATCATACAAAAATAGTGTAAATTTGATGTTTCATGAACATTTTGTAGAGCAAACAACTTCATAGAAATGACATTCTGATCAGACAGTATTCACAGAATTCCAACAAAAAGCTGACTTGGAAAACCTAAAAGCGAAATCTTATTTCAAACTAATAGATAGTAACATACTAAAATATATGCAGAAAAGTTACTTCAGTGATTGATTTAAATCTATCAGCTGCATAAACGTGTTGTATGTCTTGTTTTATTGCATTGTGAAAGAAAAATATTGTATGAAATAGAAGAACTTTATACGGGTTACGTAACTTCTTAACATAAAAAATAGCTTATTTTTATATATAATATTGGTATGAATATACAGCTTTGAAATTTCAAAAACATTTCATTGCAATGTTGTTTTAAGAAACAATTAAAGCTGCTTACCTTTGTTATATATTTCAATCACTGACATTTAAGTCTTCCTATATTTTTTAAAACTTTTCGAAAAAGTTTTTATTTTATAAAACCGTGAATGTTATCTTTGTTTTGATTCAAAAAACACAACAAACAATTTCACTGTTTTTATGATCACCAGTGTACAATAAAACTAACTTTTTTACCATGTCATAATTACAAGTATGCAGACTTTTTTCTAAATTGTTAAAGAGGTTTCATTTAACACATGTAATAAGTTTTGGGCCCATTTTTGTATTTATTCAGATATTTTTTGTGTACATTTATATTCAATGATTTTCTTTGCCCAATCTAGCATGTACCTTGGTTGATAAGGCATAATGTGAACAAGGCCTAAAAGAGCGACCTTGCTGGTAAATAAAACTTGATAGTATAAAATGGTTTAACTAAGCTTACTTCATTTTGTTTAATGAAAAAAAATTCTTATAATACTGAAATGTCATAATTGAAATGAAGTATAATATGATAAAGCAAGCTTTAAAAAAGTCAGGTCAGTAATTTTGAGAGAAGTTGTTAAAAAAAATCTTATCACCAAGCTTTTATTACTTTGCTGGATCACTACACAAATCTCCTTGGATCTAGAAGCCACACTGGGTTAAACAGTTCAAAAGAACAGAAAAAGAGCTTTCATTACATGTATATATCACTAGCCTATGACTTCTCAAAGTCGAAATAGTTGCAATTACATCGTACTATAACAATTGAGGTTGAGAAACAGCGATTGGCTAAAATTACACTTCTATTCAAGTTACAGGCAAAATTACTATAACTTTCCTCCTAGGGTGCCGAGTGATTTACTATGCTCAGAAAAAAATTCAGAAAATTTACAAACACTAATAATTTTTAGTTTCACCATGTTGAAATCAACCGAAAATCAAAAAATATATGTTTCTAATATATCAGATTAAAAATCTTTTTTAAATGAATAAGTTTCAACTCTGAAGTTGTTTTCTTTTTAACCCTTTGTGTGCATAATTAAATTTCGAGTGTGTTTTTGAAAAGTCTCAATTATCCACTAACAAATGAAATATAGAATTTGACCTTCTTTTAGTAATTTTTAAATATCGAAATCCACTATTTGTGCATTTGCTCAGCAATATACACATGCACAGTACTAAGGCGGGGAATTCAAGGACATGCGAGTATCCCGATTGTTGCACTACGAGGAAAAGTGTTTGTGACACTGTGGGGTAAACCGCTTGTCGCACCAAACGGCTATAAATATTAAGTCGGATAAATTCCATTGTAACATACAAAGGGTTAAATTTGTAGAACAATGTCTACAAGTTTATTTTCTATAATGTTTTTAATATACTGATGCAACTTTGCTCACAACACAGAGTTTACCCATCCGAGCATAATAGATTTAAGCAATAACATGATTTGTAGTAAGTTTATTTATAACAGAACACAGTGCATCAGTAGTTGTATGACAATGGTTGGTTTAGAAATAAGAACTTACACTGACAAATTCTTGTGTCAGTTTGAAAGGAGAGTTCTCAAAGCCCAAGTTTTTTGGAGAGGAAGACAAGATAAAGCCAAAGTCTATGTGGATTATATGACCTTCAGCATCCAACAGGATATTCCCATTGTGTCTAGAAAACAATAAAAGACAGTAATAAATTTAAGTCACATATAAAACAAACATTTATTTACAAATGATCAGTTGCCAGTTATATCTTTGTTTATTTGTTTGTAGTTATGTGCAAAATTACACAATGAGCTATCTGTTGTGCCCACCACAGGTATTGAAATCTGGATTTTAGTGTTATAAGCCTTCAGACTTAATGCTGACCCACTGGGGGTCACCAGTGTCATAACGTTTTGGATCTAAATATAGGTCATTCACAAAAATTACAAATCTAAAATTCTCCATTATATGACTTTTGGTTCAGCAACTCTTACTGAAAGCACCTAAATTAAATACTACTATATAAATATAGTTTCATGATGTTTTGTATCACACCTGAGTTAGACACTGCTATTTAAATATAGTTTCATGATGTTTTGTATCACACCTGAGTTAGACACTACTATTTAAATATAGTTTCATGATGTTTTGTATCACACCTGAGTTAGACACTACAATTTAAATATAGTTTCATGATGTTTTGTATCACACCTGAGTTAGACACTACTATTTAAATATAGTTTCATGATGTTTTGTATCACACCTGAGTTAGACGCTGCTATTTAAATATAGTTTCATGATGTTTTGTATCACACCTGAGTTAGACACTACTATTTAAATATAGTTTCATGATGTTTTGTATCACACCCGAGTTAGACGCTACTATTTAAATATAGTTTTATGAAGTTTGGTGTATCATACCTGTCTTTCACCTGAATGAGGTATGAGACAATACAGTATGCTGCACAGCTCTGTACGAAGTTTTTTTGTGCTGATAAAAACTCTTCTGAATTCAGACAGCCAAATTCTTGGAGGAAATAGTTCAAAAGTGACATTTTGCTATGTTTCTTGATCTGGTGAAGTGATACAGTATTTAGTATGGGTTCAATCATGCCACTGTCTGATGATGTCACTAAGATACGGTAAGGGCGGATCCACAGTGGCACTCGCTCCTGTTCCCAAATTTTCTGTTAAAGAAAGAATTAAGCAAAAATTTACTTATGATATTCCTTGAATGAGATGAAAAGTTAAACTTAACAACAAAAAAAAGACACTGTTTTTTTAAAATCACATCAAAATATTTGCTGTACTATCACTAAGTTAGTAGTTATCATAGAGTTATTACATTCTGCCTTTATAGTAGCTGCACCATAGGTATTCTCTATAATAATAATAAAAAACATAGCCAGCAGAAGTAATGATGTTGAAAAAATAATATTTTGTCTTCTTTATTAGTATAAATTTGACTAATTTTGTTCATTGCAAGATAAAAAAATTAAACAATACTCTTCAGTTTAAGACTTCTTAGAATATTTCAATCTGATGAAATCATAAACCAAAACATTGAAAATAACAGCTCGGATATTTTGCTAAGTTAGTAACAGAATACTATATTCTGATGAAGGATTTTAACAAATGAAACACCAATAATTAGCTGTCTAAAGATTTGACAATGCTCGTCATTGTGACAATTTCCGATTTCAATACAGCCATAATGTAACACATGGATAAGTGAGGTTTTATCTTATACCACATAAAATTGCAGAAAACCAAAAATTACACTAATAAACTTTTAGACATTTTTAAAACTAGTACCTCATATTAATCTCATACACAAACAGTTAATATAAGCTACACATACTTGGAGGGTTGCCAGGATTTGATAGGCCATCAGTTCTTGCCTCAAGTCATCACCACACTTGACAATGACTGCCAAAAGCTGCCACCCAGACAAGCAACTGTAAGGTGATGATTCTTGAATTCTTCTTATCTTGTCTTCCCAAGGTTCTTTAAGTGCTGCTGCTGAAGGATCTTCTGGATCTCGCTGTAAGTATGGGTATAACGTTAACTACTTTTACCAACACTTTTGTTTGTAAAAAAAACACAGTATGGTTTTTAATTAAATCACACTTCATTAGACAAATCAGCATGGTCACTTACTTATTTGTTCACATACAAACATATCTGTAAAGTAGCCAAACATCTGAATGCCAAGAGATTTTAAATAAATAAAATTCAAGGGGATATTGCAATTTTAGGTTGTTTTATGATGGTAATTCTTCCTGCCACATATAGCCTATGTCTGGTTTTAAAATATTGTTTTATGAGGATAATTCTTCCTGCCACATATAGCCTGTGTCTGGTTTTAAAATATTGTTTTATGAGGGTAATTCTTCCTGCCACATATAGCCTGTGTCTGGTTTTAAAATATTGTTTTATGAGGGTAATTCTTCCTGCCACATATAGCCTATGTCTGAATTTAAAATAACAATTTTTATTTCTTGGAATTGCCATCTAAAGCCCAGATCTTAATCCTCTAGAACATACTTTGGGCCATTTGGAGGGGTTAATTTGACCGTATCTGTCCTTATCAACTGATCAAGCTTTTGAAACAACAACCAAGGCAAAGTGTACCAGAAACTTGTTTTAAACTAGTTAAAATCATGCCTCTCAAAACAGCAGTAGTTATTCAAATGTGATTTTACATGATACAAGGATGACTATCACTACAACCAACCTTCCAACATATTACTAAATATCTCGATACTTATATCATGACAGTGATGCATACATACAAATATTACTTACTGTGAATGTAGTCTTGGGAACATTAATGCTTTCTGAAAGTCGCCGTCTAATGTCGCCAGCAGCTACCAAGACAGGGTCTCTGTCTGTACTTGTTCCGCTGTCCTGAGAGAACTGAGAAAGAGTGTCTCTGTCTCTGGTCTTGTGACAAGTGATGTTATGTAGCTACAAAAAACAGAGGGTTTTGTTAACAAAAAAAAAAAGTGTTCTGCATATTTTACTATAATCATGGGGAAAACTTTAGGTCAGACTTTGTGTTCTGATCACAAGCTGCTACTACAAATTATCATCATTTACTTTTAGTGGCAAATTATAATAAACAAAAATTTGTGTTTTAAGTTTTATCGATTTGATTTACTGTGCCTTACAAAAAAAAAAAAAGAATTCCTGGATAAGCCTTGTGACACATGATCAACTAAAAATTAAAATGTCTACAGGCCTTGAAAAAAGGGATAGGCTAAAACCATTAAGAAAATATTCAATAGACTGTTTTAAAAGTAATGTACTGTAATAAGAAGGATAATATTTTATGATATATAATTTGATATGAAAGAAAGAATCTTTGGAGTTTTGATACATGATACAGTCCAGCTACAAATAAACTGTTTTTAGTCGGTGTTCTTCTCAATGTACAGTAACAACAAAGTCTTTTCAAGGTCTTGGATCACATAACACTATATAAATACAAAAAGTGTTTTTCAGGTCTCGTAACATGTGATGTAATATAATCATGTAACACAATATAAATACAAGGAAAGTGTTTTTCAGGTCTCGTAACATGTGATGTAATATAATCATGTAACACAATATAAATACAAAAAGTGTTTTTCAGGTCTTGTAACATGTGATGTAATATAATCATGTAACACTATATAAATACAAAAAGTGTTTTTCAGGTCTTGTAACATGTGATGTAATATAATCATGTAACACAATATAAATACAAGGAAAGTGTTTTCAAGTTTGCAGCATGTGATTTACTGCCACAACAAAGTAACTATTTTTAGGTTTGTAGCATGTAATAACAATGTGTTTATGGGTCTTGGAGCATGAAATACAATATAAGTACAAAGAAAGGGTTATTTTACAGGTTTGCACTATAATGTGTACTACAACTACAAAGAAAGTACTTTTAGGTCTTGTAGCAATTGATGCATCAGTAAAACAAAGAATGAATTCTTTATGTCTTGCACTATATATTATAATATTTAACAACTAGTTTTATAAACTTGTAACAGGTCAAGTACAGCAGATTCAATGGAATGTTTTTAGAATTTGATATATTCTAACAATAACAAAGTTGTTTTAACATAACAATGTTTTGGGACAAGATAGGACCTATTGGTCCATCTCGGCTGTTCCATCCTCTAAACTAAATTACAATGATTAAAAAAAATAAAAAACAATTTTAAAGCCAGCCCTTTTCATTCATATACTTATAAGCTTTTTCTTAAACTCAGTTAAATTTTCTGCATCTACAACATTCAAAGGCCAACCATCCTGTTAAAAAATTGAAACTGTCTTAGCTGAAGATGACTCCTACCTTGCCCAAATTTATATCTGTGTCCCCTATCAGATAAATTTTCAGTAGCACTTGTTTTAAGAGGTACCCACTTCAAATATCCACACAGTGATTTGATGATCTATAGTCTTACTGAATCCAAAATACTTAAATGTGACACTAGAAGATTGTTTGTTTGTTTTTGAATTTTGTGCAAAGCTACAAGAGGGCTATCTGTGCTGGCCGTCCGTAATTTAGCAGTGTAAGACTAGAGGGAAGGCAGCTAGTCATCACCACCAACTCTTGGGTTACTCTTTTACCAATGAATAGTGGCATTGACCATCACATTATAATACCCCCATGGCTGAAAGGGCGAACATGTTTGGTGTGATGGGGATTCGAAACCTGCAACCCTCAGATTGCGAATCGAGCACCCTAACTACCTGGCCATGCTGGGCCAACACTGGAAGAAACAGATGATTAAGCTACTTTGTTTAATTTAGTGTACAAAATATTTGAATGACTACATCGAAGATAGTAAATGCCTTATATTGTCATAAAAAAATCTGAGCAACATCAATTACTTACAGAGATCTCAATAACTAGTTTTAATATAGAAGAGAGCACAAAACACTGATGAAAAAAATGAAATGTTAAAGATGTTTGCAATATGGTATAACATACCTGAAGAGAGATATCATCATATACTTGGCTCCAACACTCACCATCATCATCGACAATAGGGTAAAGAGAAAAAGAACCAGGAGAGACATCTTGATGACTGTAATAGTTTAACAAGTTATCTTCAGAGCGGGTCTGTCGAAGAGTGTTAGCAATTTTGGAAGGAATAGGACTTTTCTCCATATCCTCAACTTCAATCACTTCCACATAGATGATATATGGAGCCTAAAGTTTTTGATGTACATCAAAGGTATTAAACAAAGCATGAAATCAAAAGGACTTATTGGTAATGTTGCAGTGATTGTATATCAATCATTGTTATGGTTATTGTAATCTGTAAAATCATCCAAATCTAGTTATTAATTAGCAACTACTAATTTTTTTTTTTAATATAGATATATACTAATTACTAATTAGCTTTTATTAAATGTTTCACTAATAATCTGTTGCTGTCTTCACAGAAGACCTATTTTTATATTGGTAAAGGCCAGAATTTGATCCTGGGTCTTCTCGATGGAAATGTAGTCTGTTATTCAAATTCTAGATGGAAATCTGGTATGTTTTTCACTCAGAACCAATCGAAATGTGGATAAAAACTAGTTAGTAATTAGTATCTAGTTACATATATAGTAATTAGTCATAAATAATTAGACTTAAGTGCTCATACAAGCTATTAACCATGACAAGAAGATAATCTAAACCTTTAATGTACAGCAGAACTTGCTATGTAGTGAGCTTAAAATAGTGAACAAATATATTATAATTATCAACTTTTCACTATATTAAAAATATACTGAAAAAGTTATATTAACATAAGAGCAAAAGAAATATAAATATTTTCAGAACTTTAAACCTGAAAACTAATTAGAAAATTAAATTTCTTATTATGAAGATGTATTTTCAAAACAAACTCCTCTTATCAGTGCTACAACATAACAAAAATGTCAAAAAAGTATCTGTAAGATTTTCTGTATAAAACAATTATTACACAAGACAAATATCTTAAAATTTTCCAAGATTACGTAATAAGAAACTATGTAGTCAAAACTATACAGGAAAAAAACTAGTTAAAAATAACATTTCTTCTAGGTTATTTGAAACAATACATTACAGAGAAAAAAAAAATTAAAACCCAAAATTACAAAGAACTCTTAGTCACAATTTAAATAAAATAACATTATTCATTTAAAAGGAAATTATGCATTTATAATGTGGACAAATCTAGGAAAATTTAAAATATTCATTACAAAACAGAATTTTTTTACAGGTTAAATGAAACAAACAATACTATACATGAATAACATCATGAACATTTTCTGAAGTGACTAACTGTCTTCAGTTTATGATGTACAAGTATGCTAATTTATCTATGAGCAATAAAAAACCAAACATCTTCACCTTATCTTTAGAGTTGAGTACAACTGCAGCCTGAGGTGGAACTCGAACCACCAAGTGTGGAAAGTTTGAGTAGTGAATAGGCAACCATACTCGTGCTGGGAGGTTGACATTTAATACTGACAGTTCTGCCTGAAGTCGTTGGGCTATGACAAATAATTTAATTTGAAGAGTAACTCACTTTTACAACAACTGCATACTAAGTTACCAATTAACCAATCTTTACATAAATGTAACATTATTTATATCCTACCATGAATATATAATAGCAGCACTGATACTTGGGGTGGGGAATGTTTAGCTGGCAGGACATGATACTTATTATTACTGGACTTATAATACTTTGAATCACAATCTTTTGTTGGCATTTATGGATTTCTATTAAGAAGAGTGTAGAACACCATTTTAACCATGACCATATTGAATCAGTACATAATGATGTGACTTAAATTATTATGGATATAGCATGATATTATATCACACAATATAGCACTGGTAGATGATAAACCTTCCTGGCCCTACTAAAAATATTTCCATGAGTACTTAAACATAATGTTAGTTATGTACTGGTGTGGAGATATAACAGTTCAATTTATAGCACTGACAACTTGGTAAACATAACCTGCTATGAATATAATTAATTATATTACACTTCAGGTGTACTTAAACATAATGTTAGTTATGTACTGGTGTGGAGATATAACAGTTCAATTTATAGCACTGACAACTTGGTAAACATAACCTGCTATGAATATAATTAATTATATTACACTTCAGGTGCTGATTCAAGGATAATGGTAATATTTAAAAAAAGACAAGAAATGATTATGAAGAAAAATCATTAAAAGAAAAAAAAATTACATTTTCAAAAAACACCATACAAATTACTGGACAGAGAAACAGTATAAAATGCTCTACAGGTGTAACTAAAGGTTAAAAAGTAATATTCTTGTTATATTGAAAAACCAAATCAGCTACTTAAAGAAATGTACAAGTTAAAGGTAACATAAGGTTTTATGCATTACACAGAAGTTAAAAAATATGAAGTTTTATGTTATCTTTTTAATAAACATAATCACCTGTACACCACCATAAAAATTAGAATTTTATAACCACTATTAATTTCAAGTATAAGTGATCAATATATATTTTGATTTGAGCTCTGCAATAATGTCTGAGGGCTGTAATCTCATAAATCTACAGATGTTTGATAATTCATCAGAGGTATTTCTAAAATAAATCCAACTAACTTTTCAGTTCTTTTGTAGACAGGGCCTGCAGTCGTAGACCAATGGAAATCAGTGATTTCACAAATTCATTTTCAGGAGCTAATCTTGGTGCCTATAAAAAAAAAACGTAGTGTTTATACAAACAGCACTTAAAGTGAATACATGTTCACCATATTATGTGAATGTACAAGTAGTATTGCACCAGTTTCTGGGTTTCGATTTGTTTCAAAAGAATAATGAAAAAGTGGAAGTGCTAGAATATCAAGTTATTAAAGGCTACAGTTAATACAAAACTTTCCACAAAAATCAGCCATGTTTAACAAAACACTTATGTACAAACATATAAAAGTGGAAGTGCTAGAATATCAAGTTATTAAAGGCTACAGTTAATATAAAACTTTCCACACAAATCAGCCATGTTTAACAAAACACTTATGTACAAACATATAAAAGTGGAAGTGCTAGAATATCAAGTTATTAAAGGCTACAGTTAATACAAGACCTTCCACACAAATCAGCCATATTTAACAAAACACTTATGTACAAACATATAGAAGACATAAAAAAAACTCATAGGCTTAGGAGACATCTTTGAATGCTAATACCTAAAAATGAGAAAACACACAATAGTTTAATTTGAATCTTTGGGAGATTAATGGCTGAAGTAGAATATGTAAGAGGTTAATATTAGAAGAGTATTGCAGAATGGCTGAAGTAGGATATTTGAAAGGTTAACATTAGGAGAAAACCTTAGAATGGCTGAAGTGAAATATTTAGCAATTAAGACATATATGATCAAGGAAATCAAAGAAAAGGAAAACAAGAGAAGTAGGTTGACATAAGAGTAAACAAACACGAACCTGACAATTACACTGTATTTTCTCTCCTCTCAAGTCACTGCACACACCTTCACAACTCTGAAAACAAATGCATCCACTATTGAAGGCCTGACCCGAGGCCAGGTCACCTGATACCCGCTTTTCATTCAAAGGATGTGAGAGATTATTTTCTCCAGCTCCTAACCCTTGAAAAAGAAATTACCAATATGAAAAGTTGAAAAATACTTTTGATTCCTGAAATGGAGTAACATTCTCCAATAATAATAATTTTATTAGTTGGGTAAAAGAACAAAGGTTTTTTGACATTTAATGAAAATATCAGTATAGTTTAAAAGTTTTACATTTTACTATAATGGATGTAGCATATACACATGTATCTATCTATGTATGTGACAGAAATAATAAATACAATGTGGAATCTCAAACAAAAATCCATGAAAATTTTCACACTTTGGGTATTGAAGATTCAGACAATTAGAAAAATAAATGTGGTATATGCAAAAACCATTTTTTTTATAATAGAATATAATTTGAAATAAAAGTACTTTCCTCACAAGAACATGACTATCAGAAGGACTGTACACGAGGGTTTGATTATATCTTTATTGCTGTAATATTTAAATATAGTACTAAGAAACTGGAGTTCTTAAAAAACTATTATTTTTTTCAATAAATGGTACCATTTTTAATATATAAAATCATTACAGTGCATATCAGTAAAATTTATGAACATTTTGAGCTCTGTACATTGAATCATTTAGATGCAATGAGTTGCTTATGATTAAAGAGCACAATCTGAACACTTTTCCCGTGCAGTACTTCCCAGGAAAAAAATCCTCTTTTAGAAAATGTTCATTTTTTCCAAATTATTTTTCAATGAGGTATGAATACAATGATTAGCAATTACCATCACAAACATTTACCCGTATACTAGTTATCTTAAGTAAGACACTGCATCTATGCAATATAAACATACCATGCATTTCCTACCTTCTTATATTAATATAGTATTATTCTAATTTTATCAATTATTTCTGAGTATGTTCAGTTTTTACATAACATATAGTCAAGATAGTCATTTACCTGTATTCATTCTAGCTATCTTCATTCTTTTGTTATTCTCTAGAGATAATACCTGTTCTGCCTATTATATGGTTGTAATGCTGCACATTGCACAAAGATTTAAACAGGAGATATCTCGAGGTTATGACTTCCTTATGTTTCAATGGGACTGACCAACATTGAACTTGGGTAGTATACATATGCATCATGAGAATATAACACTAAGAACTTTGGTGTATAATACTATTATCTTTATAGTTGACTCTCTCTATCTCTCAAAGTCTCAGTTTTGGTAAGTGGAACTTTAACTTCTTTCTGTAAAAAGTAAAACACTCCTAAAGTTTAACTTGTAATATTAACTAATTCTTAATAAACCTCCATATAAGGCTTTAGGAGAGTTTAGAGAGTTTGCAACCTAGTAAAAATTCTGCTCTTCATCATATGCATTTATTAAATTTTGATTATTTTGGGTATAAATAAAGACTATTTTCATTGTGTATTTTACACTGTGTCCAGTCTCTTTCTTTCTCAAACTCAAATCAGCAAACTCAGAATGACTTCCTAATAACTACCATGTTGAATCTCCTGTTATTTTGCTGACCTATCCTGTCACTATGAGAGAAATCAGTTTCACCTGAATATACCACATATTTATACAAAAAAATTAAATAAGGAAAAAATACAAAAACAGACCTGTTGCATCTGAATATGATCTTTGATGAGTTTTTTTGTTTATTACTGAACTGGTTACCAATAATGAATTAGCATACAATGGTGCTCCATCTGTGGGTAGGTGTGGCCTGTGACAAAATAATATAATTCTAGTAAAGTAAAACAATGACCATAGAATAATTTTTATATTCCTATGAAAAATTTGTATTGGTAAATAATAAATCAATGCTACCTTCAACACCACCTCAATCACAAAATAGTAAAAAATTCATTAAGACAAGCTTATGAATAAATATTTCAGTAATATTATAGCATGTTTACTATAGCAGTTTAGAACTGTTTCAAACAATCTTTTAGGTGTAAATAAAGTGCCCTGAATGTTTTTATGGCTAAGTCTTAAATGAAAGATCACCTCAGTTCCTCTGATAGAATTCTATTTTTCAACTTCACTCCTTGAGATTTTCTTTGCAAGGGTGCATTAGTGTCAGAACAGTAAGCAGTTAATAACCAGGCCAACTGAAGTGAAAAGTTTGCATTCTTCTTACATCTAGCAAAAACAAGTATACAAAAGATCAATGTATAACAAACAATAAAACAGTAATATTGCATTGAAATGACTTAAAGTAAATAATTTTCTACTTAAAAGTATCAGACAGAACAAACATTTATAAACAATAAAAAAAAAGAAAAAGATATATTACCTCTAAAATCTAGTTTACTTGTTCAGAGGATGTACTGAATAGTTAATGTTATGTGTCTTGCTTGCAAGAAGATTGAATTAATATTGACAAATAACTCCAGAGTTACTGAGAAATAAACAAGTTGGATGATTTATTACAGATACTCAAATAGTTTGTTATAACCCACTTGAAGGTAGTTTCAAAATTCAAATGAACAACTTGAAAAGTTCCCTTTTCCATAAATTTCAGCTGGTCATTTTGCTCAAAGTAAGTAATCTAATTATGTTCATCCTGCATCTTGCTTTCTTCACTTTACTTAGTTTGAATTATTTCTGAACTTTTTCATGAATTGGAACTAAACTATGTCAAGACATTAAAACTACTACCAGCTTAAATCATTAGCTACTACGAGTTGTAACTTCCAAAATAATTCCACTATTCACTAAAATTATCTTGACTTCTCAGTTACACTGATCATTCACATTATTCTCTAAGGCTACATTACTATTGATTTTTGGAAAATATTTTGGCCTAAAATAACAAGAATGTGCCTAATGTATTACAAATAAATTACTGTTTATTATACAGAGCAAGTTATCACTCTTAAAATCTGCAAGAAATAAATATTCAGAATTAAATACAACATTCCTTCTCCAATACATGGTAAGTTCATTTGGTTAATGCATCAGTGCGGTTTGTCCCTTTGCATGTGAAGAGTTACACTTTGTAACATATGTCTGCTACACTTAACTTGGATTTAGACTTGTAAAGGAAATTTGTAATTGTCTTTTTCCAAACACAAGATAATATCCTTATGTCATCTTTGTTTTTGTTTTGCTAATTGCACGATATCAACCCATTATATGTTTTGTGTACATCAAAAGAGTTATAAAGTATCATAACTAACAGTCCAGTTCTATATGTTACTTCTCACTTTCGTCACTTTTCTACATGTACAAACCACTTAGCCACGCCCAGCTAAAGCACTGCAGGTCTTGGAATCTAGCCTATGGTTTTCAGGATATGACATAATTCTGCTATCAGTTCTAAAATAGATGGGCTTCATTCAGCATATTAAGGCAGTTATCATCAGCTACAAGTATACTTTTTTAAAATTATACAAGACAAATGTTCTGAAGTAGTAGTAAAAATAAATACATGTATATTTAGTATTTTACTGTTTCAAACATGAATTTTAAAATTAGAATATTTTTCACTCAGCAGTTATAATATAACAGTAACAGACTAACCTATGGACTAGATAAGGTTGTATAGCACCTGCAGTATCAGCATGATGAACATAGAGACTAACCAGCTGTGGCAAGAAGAACTCTACATCTCTGTCTTTGAAGCTAAAAATCTTGTTTCCTGTTACAAAGATAAATAGATATTATTCATTATAAGAATGTATGTTAAAGTAAAACAAAAAAAGAATTTAATATGTCAGTCACACTATATCTGAATTGTCCAGTGATGAAATAGGTTTGACAACTGGTAAAATAAGGAAAAAAACTCTATAGGTCAATAGGCTCTTTGATCTTTTCAGTAAACATAAACTTGCTCCTCTCAAGCTACATGGATATCTTCTGCTTCATCCACTTAACAATGTCTAATATTAGGGATATCCCTATCATCAGTTTCCTAAATCACTTTTTTTTTTATTTAGGAAAAAGGTAGAACTTCTGAGAGAAATTGTTTGCACACTACAAGACACATTTAAGTCACTTTTTAATGCTATAATTTACAGAATTGTTTGTTTTCATATATTCATGTAAAGTTACTCGTGGTCTATCCGTGTTAACCATCCCTACTTTAAACTGTTAAGACTCTACAGGGAAACCAGCTAGTCACCACCAATGTCTTGTCTGAATGAAATGTGGGGTTGGACTATCACTCTTATACGACATCCATGGTCCCAAAGAGAGCAGTGCATTTTTGTTTAACATGTGAATGATGGATAGATCTATGGGCTGGTATGTTAATCACTGGACCATGCTAAGCCCTAATATAAATACAGTTAACATTTATCCTCTGACATTTTTCAAAACATAATAATAGTACATCTTTAATATTAACTTAAGGTTACAAAACATGGTTAGAATGATTACATCATTCTATTTGCATGCCTATAAGGCACTATGACTGGTACAACCAGTTGCTCCTTTTGTTACAACTATTTCCATTGTTATAATGTGTACTAAAATGGTTACAACACACAAATGCCATGACAATAGAAGCCAACTATGATGACAACAACATATTAACACAACATCAGTACACAACTTTTAAGACAGTAAAGGGCAAGTAACATTCTAAATCAACATAAACTTGTTATAATAAGGTCAGTACGTGTGTGTGTATCTTAAAAATCTAAATGTAATTATTCATTTTGGCCAAATGTAGAAGTCGAACACCACGTTTTACTTTATTATAACTTGTAATTTTCTACATTTCTTATTAATTTTCAAACAATTTTATGATAGTTTATAAAAACAATTAAAACTTTCAATAATTAATTTGAAACATACCTGCATTACTGTAACACCTTGGATAACGTAAAACATTTCACAGAAATTTTAAGATAAAAAAACTACTATTTTCCTACATTTTAAGTACAAAAGCAAAAACAATGAAGTGTAAAAAACTAAAACACACTGAACATTATCTAATTATAATTCAAGCCAGGGCTCATGTCACTGCTGAACTGGGGCCTAATTTCAGAATTTGTTCATCATTTGTATATATAGTCATCTCCCCCCTCCGCCAACTCTTG